TTTTCTTTTTTAATGGAGTTTTTCTCAGAAGAAAAAAAAATTTATCTAGTAATAAAAACAATAATTTACAGATTAACCGATAGTTACATGAAATGAAAAAAAAACTTAGTCTGATAATAATTAGTCAATTGAAAATATTTCACATTTATTTGTCCAGCTAGATGATGGCTAGTAATTTAGACTTGTCTGAAAGTTTTATTTGTTCTTTTTATTATTAATTGTGACAATCAAACCAACATCAAAGTCAGAATTTTCAACGGATCAGATTAACCTACCTAGACGTTGGTTCATTGTCTCGTTCTCGTTTATTGATGAAGATGAACCCGTAATAGTCTCAAGCATACTTAGTGATGAGCATAAAAAAAGTCAAAAGCGTTCTATGGTGTATGAAACAGAAACTTGAAGAACTATAATGGTCATTATCCAAAAGATACAAGTGTTTATTAACAGTTTTAAACGCAAGATGCTCTTCATCTGTTGGTCAGACACCAATCGGCAACAACCTACTGTGACAGAGAACAAACCAGACTGCAGCTGAGGGAGAAGTTTCAAAAAAAAATGCACTGGAGGTGGGTAGGACACACGTTGCGGAAGTTACTTAGCTACTTTAATAGGCAAACCCTCACTTGGGATCGTCAAGACCAAAGAACAAATTGCGCCGTGAATTGGAGGTAGGTATCAAAAGAATACAAAACAATTGGCAAGAACTGGAAATGAACGCTCAAGACAGAGTAGGTTGGAGAATGCTGGTCAGTGATCCATGCTTCATTGGGTTAGCAGGCATAATTGAAAAAAGTAAATAAGTAATTGTCACAAACAGTATATAAACCTATTTAGAAAATCTTCAGAGCAACTGGAAATTAGTATACTCTTGAAGTTGGATATTTTCACTCGAAATAACGAAAGCATCGTCAACTATTGATCTAAGAACAATACTTTATACACTGATTGTTAAACTGTCCAGTAAAGAGGAATATAAATGATAGCTTATAAAACTCATCATTAAATTTTAAATATACATTAAATTTCCCATGTATCATCAATTATTTCGTCAAATATTCTATTAGAAAGTCATTTTGTCTTGCTTATTGTTGTTATCAATGTGGTCATTGATATTTCAAAGAAAACTAACTATTGATTAAAATCAAACTAACATTCATGAGTAGCACAGCTTTCTTTCATATATTGTTAATACTGGCTATGGAATTAACAAAATCAAAAATGATAAAAAAGATGCTGTAACGATTATTTGGATTTTTAATAAACTGATAGTTAATTATTTGATAATTATATGTTATTATGTCATGGGAAAAAAATTCTCTGTACACAGTTCTGCACAATTCTATAATTAGTTGTTGTTGTTCAATTTCATTTAAACTTCTTTCAACTTTCAATGATAAAAAATAATGTATTTGTAAACCATTTCTTCAGCGAATTCTATCCGTGAACATACATACCATAAATATGTTATTTTTATTAGTAACAATTTACTCAATTGCTTAGTTTATTTGAAGTTATCAACTTAAACCTTGGTAATGATATCCTTCAATTCTTTTAACTTTTGTTCAAATTTCACTATTTTATTATTATTCTAAATGATTTTTCTCTCTTCTTGGGAAACTATGCTTTGTATCCTCCTGTGTTACGAAAAGTCAATAACTAGTTCAATCACTATAATTTATGTGATGATGATGACGTGTTAAGATAGAAGAAATAACACAACCAAACATAGCTAAAGCTTTATTTTTGAAAGATTATGTCAGTCAATCAATCAGTCATCTACAACGTAGAACTTCGTACGTACGTACATCAGTTCAAGTTGCCATACCATATTAGTGCAGAGGTGCAATAGTCAGTTCAAATCCCATAGTGGTATAGATAGCAGAAGTATTAGCGGTAATGGAGAAGATTAGGGTTCGAAGATATGATTCGAGAGATATAGTCCAGTGAGATAAATCTAGAAAGAGGAGGATAGAGATGATGAGGAATCCAGAAGGTTAGAATTTGAGAGAACACAAAGAGTGAATGCAGCTGTACCATTGTAAACAATTTTGAGCCATGTCGTTCAAGGTCTCTAATCATTGGTTACTATTGTCTCCCTCACACCAAACAGGTAGCCCACACTTATCAACATGACTCAGTCCACTTGTCAGTGACTTCATGGATTCGTGCCATGTTCTGGTTTGACCGCCCCTAACATTCTTCCAGCCTAAACCTACACCAGACAACATCGCTCATCGAGACAGTTGGTGGTTGGGCATGCTTAACACATATCTCAACCACCTCAATTGATGAAGCTTCAGTACTTCCTATATTGATCTCCCATCCTAACCTAGTACTTGTTTTCTAATGGAAGCATTGCTTACTCCAAAGATCATGTAATTATGTTGTTTTCATGTTAAAAATACCTAGTAGCTGATTTGTTTCTAGAATTTCATAACACTAACCATTTATAATGATTGATCTATATTTCTCTATATTCATTTTTCATATTATAATTAAGTCACATATCCCGCGGATTAAGTGTACATACTGAATTTATCAACTGTTTTTTTTCTAAATTGTGATAGAACTTTGTAAACCTACTGACAATGTTTTCGTAAACTTTACACATAGATGAGTTGAATCTTTTCTCCCTTCTTTCATCAAGTCACTTTTCTCTTACAATTTTTCAACATGAATCAAATTGTAATATTTATGCAAGTCACTTTTAGATTGATGACAAATACTGACATTTCTTTCAGATCAATCCTAACTTATAATGTTCATATATATTTTCAATTAGAGTTATGGAGATTCGTGTTTTTACACATTTGAAATCATCAATCTATTATTGTTAGACCTGGAAGCACTGAACGGCCGTTTCATCCTGGTATGGCACTCATCAGCACCTCACAGGATTCGAACCTGGGACCTTCGGTATTGTGCACGAACGCCTAACCATTAAGACTACTGGGCCAGCATCCAACGGTGTCAATGTCAGTTAAAATCTGTACTTGAAGATGGTAGCACTAAAAAATTACTTGTTTTTCATTGAAAATTGACTGTTTTTAGATGAAAGAAAAAACATCGATCATATGAATCGGATTATAATTCACATTGTTGAATAGAACAAGTAATATTCACTGAATCATTGGACATATCTGAGTTTATGCTCATTTTACAAGTTCAGCACCAACGGAAGAATAATTTTACAATAATAATGAATATTTTCATATCACGATTATTGTTTAACTAAACATAGTCAGTGAATTAAAAATCATTTCTATAGTTCATTTGAATAGTCTAAAGAAGATCACATGAGTCTATGCACAGATCTAATAAGACCATGACCTCAACAATCACTACATAACTGAATGATAACTGATTAGTGAACTTGTCTGGATTTATTGTCTGTTTTATTAACTTTATAATAATAATAATAATAATTATTATTATAACTAGTAAGTAGTGGTTGTGTTTTAAAATTTCAGCATAACCTTGAACTTAAAAGCTACATGATAGAGATGATATTACTTCTGTTGAAAAATAAAAAATTCATTTGTTATCTTGTAAAGCTTAAGGTTGAAACAGTAGAATATCGTTCGTTTTTTGTTTAACTAAAGGTACATTCACATCGAATTGAACTAGATTAACTGGTGTGAGAATGATGACGTCCTTGCCAGAACACTATAACATTGAATGGTATTGATTTTGGAAGAAAGGAAACTAGAGTGTTATTGAAGAATGATAAACATAGTTAGAGGTTACAAGTTTTTGTATAATAATTTATTTGTTAGAATTGACCATTTTTGAACTTATCACTAGACAGATCAATGAATCACAAATATTTCAATCGATCGAATATTTTAAGTCTGATAATTGTTCATTTAGTCTATGGAATACACAGTTATCAGTATAGGATTATGGAGATGATTGAGTTTATGTTAGAATCATTAAACAATCAATGTTAGATCACCATTGAGAGCCTAGAAACACGAGAATGTCGTTTCGTTCTAGTATGGGACTCCTCATAAGTGCTCGTGAACGACCCCGCGACTAGGAATCGAACCAATGACCTTCGGTTTCACTTTTTAGGGACTAGCTTCGTATGGAAATTATCAGAGTTCTAACGAGAAGCTATGACCAGTGCAACCCAGCCGTGTTAGGTATAAAACATTAACTCAACGAAGACAATGGATGATATTTGCTAAACATCGTGGATCGATGGAAGTTAGATAATATCATCCTCGGATGATAGTTAAATAGACAGAAGGCTAGGCTTTTACAAACGAGTCTCTATGCCTCGGGTTCGACACCCGGGTGGGGATTTATGAATGTGCATTGCTTAAGAGTCTCATACTAGGATGAAACGGCCGTCCAATGCTTCCAGGTTTCTAATGGTGGGTTAACGTTGATTTGCGATTTCAATGGAATATACGGTTGTTCTTTTGTTTGAGGATTATACTTCACTATGTTTTATGATAAATTAAGTTGTTTCATCGTTTATTACCATATACACTTACGTACACTACTCAGTATATTAAAGAATCATAGTTTACTGTCATCTATATCCTTGTACTTATGTGTGTGCTAATAAATTACATCTACATTCTCATTAATTATTACTAGGATTTAATAATTCAGTATTGTAATACAAACCAAGCTTATTTAGACATCTATTGGAAAGCCGGTCCCACTGTTTAAGCATTGATTTACGAACGTGCCTCCTTTTTTTAATTATTATTATCCCACGACTTTCATCGCTGTTTATTTCACAGTATTGTTATTTTACAGCATTGTACTGCCGTTATAGGCGCTCTTCTTTTTTCACAAAGGTACAATTGTATAATAATAAAATGATTTTTTCAAAAAAATTAAAAAAAAAGAACTATTATCGATTCAGCGATACGTGAAATATTTGCTTTTCAATAATTTACATTACGTGTAATTCAAATAACTACCATCAACTTGTTTTGATAACCTATTTACTAGTTAGTGAGAAGTATTCAGTACCGTTAATGATAGTAGATCGTCAACATTTGTTAAGTACCATAGAATGTGTGAAACCTTATGATAATAATAATAATAATAATAATAATAATAATAATAATAATAAATTTTTATCCGTCTCTATATGTGGGTGGATAAATGAAAATCAATTTATTATCTTCTACTTAGAGGTGTGTATAGGTAACTCTGTTCTTAAAAAGCATTTAAAAATATCATTAGTTGTTTGTTATTGCAAAAGCATAATCAAATCAAGACAAGAGACAAACAAAGCACAGCTCATCTCATCATTTATGATTAATGGTTAGTACTAAGTGTTGTTGTAAATTGTTGATTAGACATCATTGCTATGATTATTGATCATGACAGTGATAATCAGTAACAAAAGCCGAACCTCATAATCAACAAACTAGTATAGATGTGTGATTTGAACTAGTTTTGTCATGATTTCACTTGTAATAAGTATGCAAAGAATGTAGATTAAGTTTTGACCAATAAATTCTTGTATTTCAAAATTTCAACAATTACTTACCTAATAAATTATATTGAGGTATGTGAAGAAAGTTAAAATCGAGCAAGTGTATTGTAAAATGCATTAAATGGTTCCCTTCCAAGGTGTGTAATCGTGATGTTTTTTTTCAAAACTCATTACTCCACAAACAAAATGATAGTGTTAAGCTATGAATATACTCTCACATTCATTCTACAGGTTAGGAACGACATTGAATTTTCCGAATCGCAAATCAAAGCGTACAAATGTGAAATCAATGAAGAAAGAAGTGAGTACTAAGTGACTTACTAAGCTAGAAAAAGTAAAACTATCGAATTCTAACAAGATCAAAATGGCATTATTATTGATTTGAACCCTAAAATCCTCTAGGATCTTTAATAAACTAAATATTACCTAAGTAAATACTGTTTTACGCCAATATAACGTCCTGTTGATCAGTCGTGTTTATTATTTAATTTTCAATAAATTTTACAATAAAACTTTCTATATTTTAATAAATAATTCTCAATGTTAAGTATAATGAATCACGTGATTTTGCCAAAAGATTACAAATCATTATACAATGATAAATAGAAGAAAATTCAAATGGAACTATTTCATTTTGCTACAACATTTCACTTCATGTGTCAATCAATTTAAAAATGAACAACTGACAAGTTCATTCAAATATGTATATGATCGATGTACAAACTTGTAGCATTTTAATTGTAGAAAATTTTCTCAACTGTAGCCAAACATTATTATTAAGTAATGACTACTGAAAAAATATTTATCCAAAAAATTATTCCCTTGAATAGCAGCTACAATTCGAATAAAAACTAAAATCAATAGATATTATGAATTATTATTGCAAAAAAAACAAAGAAATTTATTATAATTTTTCAATAATTTGTATAGAAAATGCATTTAATTTAATAAAACAATATAAAATTGAACTTAACCCAATCTATTGTTGATTGTCTTATTTCATTCACTATGACTGCTGTTAAAAAAATTCTTTTTACTGTTTATTAATTAAAATTTTTAAATTGATTTCAATAATCATTTCAAAAGTATTTTATTCATTATTTTTTTTTTCAAAAACTATGTAATAATGATTACATAATAATGTTAGTCAATCATAAAAACAATAGAATTAGTTTAATATTAAAGAAATGAACAGTATGTTGAGATGGTGGAGAAAATTTGTAGCTTAGGTGGATGATTATGATGGTCTTTCGTTTTCTGAGCTGGACAGAAGTCTTCTGTCTGAAGTTTGTGCTGATGATGTTGTTCAGAAAAACAATGAAAGCTCCATAACCAAAACAACCATCTCAGAGAACGAAACACCACCACAATGAACAGTGTGTTATTTGTACAAATTTATAAATATTTATTTCAACAAATAAAATTAAAACTCCACTTTCAGCACTTCTGAAGTTATTACCGGTCCAAAGTAACGAGGCTTGGGAATGGGGTTAATGACCTCTTTCCCGTAATTATCCAACTCATTGATAAAATGTTAGCCAGAAAAAGAAATAATAATTCGCTGGTCAGCGGCTAATGCTCCATTAAAAGTAACAGGAATAAGTAATTATTTAAAATTGCACAAATCACTTATTTCCATATCTTAAAAATCAATATCACTTTTTTTTCATAAGGATTACTTAAATTTACACTACGGGGTTGTGAAGATTGTTAAGTTACACATTTTTGAAACCATGAATCGATCAATTTTAGACAAACATTAGAAACCTGGAAGCACTGGACGACCGTCTCATCCTGGTATCGGACTCCTCAGCAGTGCTCATCCACGACTCCTGCACCTCGCAGTATTCGAACCCAGGACCTTCGGTACTTAAACCTTTTGTTTTGGTTAATGAATTAATATTTCTACTTATAATTAACGATATTTCTAACAGTAGTCTTTTTAAATTAGTAAAAAATTTATTTCATCTTCATGTAAATTTATCACATAATTTATAAATTTTGTAAACGATAGATTTAGAAAAAAAAATCCACAAAATAATGATTGTTATTTTTAATTTATTGAAATTAAATTTTTTCCACTGGAGAAAGTTTTGAATAATGCGCACCCATTGATGGATGATATGTTGTTGTTATTATTGTTGTTGTTGTGGTTGTTGGAATTGCTTTTTCACATTTAGTAAACTATTGATTTTGAATGAATTCAAACATACTTTGTCAATATTCGTTTTAATAAATACGATTTATCATAAAACATTTGATTTATTTCATTCTATCACAACGAATAGTGTATTTAAAAATAATTACTTTGGATGGATAATAATTAGGTTTTAACTATTGAAAATTGAATGATGATGATGATGATAATATAATTCAATGTTTATGATATTAAAATTGAAGTTATATTTTTAAGTATTTAACAGTATTTATATTTAAATATATACACATGATTGTTTGAATAAGTTTTTTTTTCGAAAATTCTGACACAATTATTATATTTTATTCATTTACAATTAATTACATATGAAACTTAACTGTCATGAAAAAAATTCTCTTATAGAAATTATAGTACACCTATTTTGTTAACAATAATTTGTACTATTGTTTCTGGTTTGTAAGTGTTATTGATATCGTAATATTCTAGATTGTAATACTTTTTTGAATTAGGGGCTGTTAATTCTATTGAGTAAATGGATAACATCAACTAACGGACAAAACGTTAACGTTTGACCACTGGAATAGAGCGAAAACTCACTGTGGACATTCTTGGCATTCGAAGTGGAACAAGTAAAACAAAACAGATTTGTTGTCAACTCTGTCTATTCAGTAACGAAAACATGAATTTTTAAAGCATATAGAATGAACCAAAAGTAATAGCATCTAATTAGAAAAGACGAATGTTAAACGGGGAATCGTATTTTAAAAAAATAAAGAATTTGTGGTCATTCCATCTAGTAAGTTTTTATCATTGAAAATAATAACTTAGTTATTATGTTTTTACACATATGAAATCATCCATCAATCATTGTTAGAGCACCATTAGAACCCTGCAAACACTGGATGGCCGTTTCGTCCTGGTATTGGACTCATCAACAGTGCGCATCCACGACTCCTGCATCTCGCAGAATTCGAACCCGGGACCTTCGGTATTGTTCGGCCGTCCAGTACTTCCAGCTTTCTAATGGTGGTCTAACAATGATTGATTGATGATTTCATATGTGCAGAAACACTAATCTCCATAACTCTAATTGAAAAATTAGTTATTATGTGTTTTTCTTCGCAATAAATAAACTGAAGATAATTCAGAAAAATACAATAAATCTACATCGTTTTTATTACCAACGCTATTCTTACTTGATCTAAATTCAGAAATGAAAAAAAGTTGTTTAAAATGTTTTAATTTTGTGTTTCAAGTATGAGTTGTCCAGCTGCGTCCTAACTGTCCAGTTGATACCGAGCTTCACTCCAGATGTTGACGTTAGAGTAAGCAACCTTGCTTGACACCGGTTTTCACCTCGAAAGAGTCTGTTAGCTGTCCTTCGTGTCCGATTTTGCAGTTGAATCCATCATAAGAATTCCGAATGATGTTGACTATTTTCTCAAGCACATCTACTGTCGAACAAGCCTCCACAATGTTTTCCTATCCACGCTATCGAATGCTTTCTCATAGTCGATGAAGTTGATGTAGAGTGGTGAGTTCCAATCAATTGATTGTTCCACAATGATCCGTAATGTAGCGATTTGGTCAGTACACGATCGACCCTTACGAAATCCAGCCTGTTGATCTCGAAGTTGGGCGTCTACGAAGTCCTTCATTCTGTTTAACCACACCCTGTTGAAGACTATGCCTGGTATTGAAAGAAGAGTGATGTCTCTGTAGTTCTCACACTTGCATAGATGGCCTTTCCTTGGTATTTTGATCAGGTATCCTTCTCTCCAATCTGATGTTACTTGTTCCTCATCCCAAATCTTCTTGAAGAGGATGTGAAATATTTTCGCAGTTGCTTCTACATCTGCTTTGATTGCCTCTGCTGGAATGTTGTCTGGTCCTGCTGCTTTGCCGTTCTTGATTTGTCTGATGGCCATACTGATCTCCTCAATCGTAGGTGCGCCAATATTAATTGGGAGGTCCGTGGATGCTGTTTCGATGTTGTTTGTGTTCAGTGAAGCTGGTCGATTCAAGAGTTCATAAAGTGCCCTACCCACCTATTTCGCTGTTCTTCAGTGTTGCTGATTACTTCGCCTTCCTTGCTTTTCACTGGTCGTTCTGGTTTACGATAGTTTTCGGCGAGCTTCTTTGTAGTTTCGTACAATTGTCTCATGTTTCCTTCTCTTGCAGCCTTTTCCGCCGTCATTGCTAGATCTTCCACATATAAAATGGTTTGAATTATTTTTTCTGGTTAGCGTTTTTTTGGCAAGTGAGATTTCGACGGAATGGGGTCGCCAACCCCATGTCCAACCCTCCTCCTTTATCCGGGCTTGAGACCGGCAGTAGCCCCTAAGGTTCTACTGGAGGAGTTAAAGCCATGATGCTATAGAATTATGTAGGAAAGATAGAATATGTCTATCGATGGAATCCAGACTGTGCGTAAAAAAAAGTTAAATGTTAAATTTTCTTTCCCTTGAATGCTTATATTAAATAGCCGAGTTAACTTTCAATGATATCCTTTACAGATTTTCAATCAATTTATTGACATATAGTTTTGATTATTATTATTGATTAATCACGAATACAAATTTTAAATGTATCATTGTCATATATGTAGGTCAGTGTATAATATCTATTTTTAGAAAAAAAAAATTGAAAATAGACATAATTTTGTACATTTCTTCTCAGTGGGTCGGTCTAACACAAATACAATTAATGAATATGGGTTAACAATAATAATTCGTTCGAAAGATCG